GCACATCCTCTGCTGATCTCCACGTCAGTGCCATTAATGACATGGGGGGGGTGTCAGAACGTGCTAGCAGAGATCACAATACGGCTCTCTGGGGACTCGGCGGTGGCTCTCTCTGCCACTCTCCCCATGGCCTCAGCAGTGTCGCTTCGCTGGGTGTGGAGGTCGTTGGTGCCTGTGTGGATGATGATGCACTGGGGGCACCCGAGGGTCTGCTTCTTCAGAAGCTGGTCGGCGTGGCTGGTGGTGCTGCAGCATTTCGCTGTTACCTGGTGTCCAGGGAAGAGCTTCTGAGGTTCCAGGAACTTCCTGTCCATTAGAAGAACCACATGAGGTCTCTGCTCTGCTGGTTTGACTGTAGTGGTCTGGGGGGGAGGCGGGGGCTCCTCAGGAGGCTCTCTCTTCTTCTTGTTGTTCTTCTTGTTCTTCTTCTTTCTGTCTCTCAATTAAATTCAGCAAGCTTTACTGTCGTGACCACGTTCAGTTTCAGTGCTGCCAAAGCATCACCAATCAGAAACACAAAAAATGAGCACTGAGAACATTCCAGAGCGTAAGAGCTCTTAATACATGAAAGAATAGTAAAAATAGCAGCTTGGAATTGAGGTGTAAAGAAGATGAAGAGGAAAAAACGAATAAATAATGAAATGTAAGTAAAGACATAAAGGCGCTTACAAACAGGGCATTTGTGGACATTTTGTGTGTGTGTGTGCTGTGTTTGGTTGGGTCAATCACTGTCCCTCATATTATGGCAGACACAGTGTGGACAGTAACTAAGTAAATGTAATTTATTACTGTACTTAAGTAGTTTTTTCGTGTACACCAATCAGGGCACAGCGCACACTTTACCAAGAGTGGCACTGGAGTACTTTCACCTAAAATGAGTTAATGAACTGAGTCTCGTTTTAAAAATGATAATAGGACATTAGAATCATAAATAATCTTTTAGTACTTTTACTTTCGATACTTAAGTACATTTGAAGGCAATTACTTTTGTACTTTTACTCAAGTGGAGGTCTGAAGGGAGGAACTTCTACTTTTACTGGAGTAATATTTTACCTTGGGTGTCTCTACTTTAACTCAAGTACATGGTTTGTGTACTTCGTCCACCACTGGGCAGGCAGATGTATATTTTGCTGCTAAGGGGCTGCTTTCATTCTTTTCTCCTAACAGAATGGGCATTTTTGTCAATAACACAGAGGCGGCTCAGTTGGGAGTGAATCTTCTCAAATGTAGTATATTTTTCGTAGTTGTGTTGCTGCTGCACTGCTGGCAGAGTCTCTGCTCTTTAGGCAGCCAGGCTGTGTTCACTGATTCTCCTTACTGTGATCTCTTACAGTGGCCAGTCTGCACGGCCAGGCTGTGTTCACTGAGTCCTTACTGTGATCTCTTACAGTGGCCAGTCTGCTCAGCCAGGCTGTGTTCACTGATTCTCCTTACTGTGATCTCTTACAGTGGCCAGTCTGCTCAGCCAGGCTGTGTTCACTGATTCTCCTTACTGTGATCTCTTTCAGTGGCCAGTCTGCACGGCCAAGCTGTGTTCACTGATTCTCCTTACTGTGATCTCTTACAGTGGCCAGTCTGCTCAGCCAGGCTGTGTTCACTGAGTCTGTACTTCCGTGTTTAGTATCGGTCACTGTGCTCAGGTGCTCCGCTACAGTGTACTGATGTTTTAGGGCCAGATAGCACTGCGGGTGATAGTGTTAGTGTGTGTTAGTGAGCTCAGTGTCAGGACTGGCTGTGTGAGGAGACTCTGCTCCTTGCTCAGCTCTTGGCTTTGCAGCGCCTTGTAGTTGGAGAAGTGGGGGTCACTGTTTTTTAGACGTAGCCAATATTTAATGGTTCTTTTTTGAATTTTGAGCAGCAGTGGAAACTGGCCTAATTGTTCTCCTGTGCACATGCAGGATACTTTTACAAAAATCAGTGTGCATGATTTCTACTGGGTCAAAATTTAGATTTGAGGGTGGCCCCCGTACCTCACTGCCATACAGGAGAACTGGTTCTGTAACTGATTGGAATAATTTGGGCCAATTTTGAGCTGGTATTTGATTGTGAATTTGTCGTTTGATTGTGTAAAATGCCCTGCACACTTTCTCTCTCTCAGCTCATTGACAGTTGAGCTAATCTTCGATCCTAAATAACTGAACTCTTTACAGGGGTCTAATTTGTGCATCTCTAGTGTGAAGCAGGATGTGTTTCCCTGAGATGTTTTTTTGGAAAATGATTGTTTTGGTCTTTTTCAGGTTTACTGACAGGGCCCAGGTCTGGCAGCACTGCTCCAGCAGGTCCAGGTTCTGCTGTAGGCCCTGCTCTGTGGGGGACAGCAGAACCAGGTCGTTTGCATAGAGCAGGAACTTTCCAGGTGCTGCAGAGCGCTCTAAAGCTGTGGTCAATTCATTAATATACATGTTGAATAACGTTGGGCTCTCTTGGTCTCCCTGTCTCTGAGACCCCAAAACATCTGACATCCAAATGATGCTCTTTAGCTTTCTTTGTAAAATGAGTCATTAAGTGTCAAGGTGGCAAAAACAATGTTAAGTAAGTTTTGCACTTTTCAAAGAGGGTCTGCAGACTGACACGACGGTTAGACGGCGTAAAGAAATAAGGTGTAAACAGTCATTCAGGGCGCTTTAATGTGAAATGCTTAATTTAAGAGAAACACAGACTCAGATTCCTTTAAAGTGGTGGTGACAGTGACCACAATGTCTACAACACAAGTATAGCCATTTTATTTACTATCCAAAACCACCAGTGAACCTAGACGTGTCTTTATACAGTACGTAATGCTGATGATGGTAAAATAGTCATAAAACTGAAAAGATACGTTTTCTGTGGGGACTGTTTTATCTTACTGCGCTCTGGATGTATCCCTCCACCACAAGTACATTTTTAAAAATATATATGTTTCTCAAAACCATCATAAAGCCACATCAGGCAAAAACAATTAATGCTGTAACTTTCTGTGGGGGAGTGTTTAAAGGCATGAAACTCTCCAGATGTCTAGTTCCCATCACCACCCTGGTGAAAAACCCAGAGAAACCAGTCTGTTGGTTCCTGATAGTTTTATGTGTTTTGGCGTTTTTAAAGAGTTGATATCACAGTGGAAAGGATCCTGATAGATTAACAAGTGACCAATGGCTGGTTCTAAATGCATTTGGTGGTCTCCAGATATGATCTAAAGGCTTTCTACAGGACACCAGTGGTCTCTACTGAAAACCGTTAAAGAGAAACTCCCACAATTTTTCAAAATTTATACATAATTAAATAGTTCAGATGTAAACAAAGCCATCCAAAGTGGTTTGGTGTGAAACTCTCTGTTCTAGAGAACTGAGTCAGAACTGTTCACAGTGGTGGTGATAGGAACCAGACGTCTGAAGAGTTTACTGCCTCTAAAAGCTCCCTCACAAAGAATTAGTACACAAATGGTTATGAATACTCAGCCTGATGAATGAGACATTGTTTTATGATAGTTTTGTGATGACATTTTGGCCTAAAATGTCTTAGTAATCATTTTTAATCCATTCATGGTGGAGGAGTACTTAATGATTTTTAAAACTTATTTTTCAGATTTTCTGCTATTTTACCATCATAAACATTACATATAAAAGCTAAGAAGCCACATGTAGGTTCACCTACGGAGCTCTGCTGGAGACATCTGGTATAAATAAAATTAATGCATGGCCACGCCTTATCAACGCATGCGAACAAGATCCTAATGTGTGGCCATGACTTAGAAAGGTGTGATTTCTTTCCCAGACCTTACTAAGTCATGGCCACGTGTTAGGATCTCGCTTCCACATGTTAATAAGGCGTGGCCACAACTTGATCATCTCATTCCCACGCCTTACTAAATCGTGGCCAGGCATTATTTTTATTTATACAGGATGTCATCATCATGGCTCCGTAGTAGACATTGCGACCCCGGTTCCCATCTCCACCACTGTAAAGTCATCTGAGTCAGTATCTTTCTCTACAGTGAACCATTTCACATCAAACAACCTGCATGACTGTTTACATCGCAGCAACTGAACTGTGCAAAATTTTGAAAAATTGGTGGAGTTCCCCTTTAAGCCAGTTCCCATTTGAAAGCAAAACCACTGGGTTGTAATCCTAATGGTCCTTTTCCAGCAGGGCACCAGTGTGGTCTCGGCAAGCTCCTCCACAATGAGCCCTTTCACCGCAAACCGCCCTGAGCGGCTCTGTTTCCTCGCAGGAGCGCAGAGTGGGAGGTTCAATTGTGCGGAAATGTTGGGAGATCAGTGCGCAGCGGCTGCAGCGGACAGCAGGTGGCGCTAAACTGCCGTGCACATCCAGCGCGCCCGTCTCGGTGCGTCATTACTGTGCGACGAGGGTGTTTTTGGGCCAATCAGAAGTCAGAGTGGCCTCCACCGTTTTTATTATTGTGGAAAAGGGCTGCGTTCGGTCTCGAGGCGCGGGGTCGCGTCATTGTTAACGGAAAAACAGCGATTCACAGCGCGGGCGCTTCCCGAGCAGGGCGCGCGGGACGGGGCCGATTACGCGGGGGGCAAACTGGACAAACTGGACTCTGGAAACGGGAAGCAGGCTGCGCTCCAGCAGCTGGTCAGCCTGTCCGTCCGCGTTGATTTGACTTGACGTGCGTGGTGTCCGTGCGGTGCGGGCGGCCCGTCGGTCCGAGGATCCGCTCCCCGGACGGCGTTTCTGGATGGGTTGATCGTCTCGGTTCTGCAGCGCGTTTGTATCCAGCCGAGCGAGCGATTCTCCTCAGGAGGCCGCGATGAAGCGAAGCACCGCTGGCGAGGGCGCCGCGGGGGGAGGAGGCAGGATGATCGTCCCCCCAGGTGGCAGGCGGCTCCCACCGCAAGCAGAGCATCATCAACTCCCCGGCCAAGGCGAGAGCGGAGAGGGGCGAGCTGGGGCGAGACGGGACCCTGTCCATCACCTCCCTGCGGTCCCGCCTCGGGCCCACCATCCGCTCCACGCTGTCCGCCGCCGTGGACACGCTGCTCGGCGAGATCGTGGCCGTGATGTCGGAGACGCAGGGCGAGCTCCGCTGCAAGGAGCAGGAGAACGAGAAGCTGAAGGTGCGCCTCGAGGTGTCCGAGCGCGAGCTGAAGACGCTGCAGGACTGTCTGTGCAGCGCGCAGAAGCTCATCGACCAGCTGCAGGGGCCCTTCGGCACCCCGCCCCTGCCGAGCCACCACGGCTACCCGCCTCCGCCGCCGCCGCCGCCGCCGCAGGTCAACCCCGTGGGCTCCGGCCGCCTGGTTCACCGAGGAGCGAGCGACTCCGCCACCGACCCGCGCTGCTTCGCCGCCGCCGCCGGGGAGCCGGAGCTGAGCGGAGCGCTGGGAGACGCCATACACGGCTTCGACTCCAGAGAGGACTTCAAGAGCTGCCATCTGTCCATCCAGCCGGACGGGACGGTGACCAACAGCTACTACGACCCCATGCCCGTCCACTCGGCCGGCATGTGCCATGACGTCAACAGGACAGGTGAGACCTCCTAGCCCCCCAGTCTCTCCCAAATATTTCAAAGGAAAGATGTAAAATCTCATGTTTACAGGTTATGGGATTTCCAGCCTCTCTCTACTGCTTTTGTATTAAGCAGCCTGTTTCTGCTACTGTGCCTTTAAGACTGGCATATGTAAATGACCTTCGTTTTGATTGGCTGCCATGCATTTTGCTTTGTTAAAGAGCAGTCCAGGCTTAAGCACACCTTATAACTTCAGAGTGAATGGGCGAGGCTAATCTGTTTTACTCTAAATAGGCCGATAAATAGGAGGCCAGAAGAGGCTATGAGCTGTTGCTTTAATTTTTTGGATTGTTATCTTGAGATCACAAGATAGTTAGCTCGTTATCTCAAGATAACAATCTAGAAAATTGTAACCACCCCACGGCCTCTCTGGCTGTCCGTGCGATAAATATAAGCAAACGTGTTGGTTTTTGTGACGTCACGAAAACAGTACATTCAAAACGAGCTGGTGCGGCTTAGTTTCTCTACATCCCATGTGTGAAACACAAGGCCGGCGGGCCAAATCAGGCCCACCGCACAATCCTGTCCGGCCCGCAAAAGTGTTTTAACTTTCTGTTAATATTAGAAAATTACAGTCCCTGGAAATGTGAGGGGCACGCTTAAAACTTTAACAGTGTTTACACTTTACATCAAACTCTTTTGTTTAGAAAAGCGAGGGTAAGTCAGGTGATCGGGTCCCTTTAAGGCTTGTTTCTGAATACTGAGAAACTTTCATTGCTATGAAAATGATCCATAATAATGCTTCAGGAGTTTCTATAGGATTCTTATATAAGACTGTTAAACAGTTGCAGTGTTAAACTACAGGACACTAAACTCCTGTTATAGACTACTGAACACCAGTACAGAGCTGGACTATATTACAGTATTTATTATTATCATGATAAATTACATCACAGCATGCTTTTCTGAGCATATCACGGATATCGTCAGTACTGAAAAACTACTTACCAACTGCGTGTTTGTTTAAAAGGAGGGCATAGTTAGTCCTGTTTAACTGGATTTAGTGCAGCACAGTGTGTGAAATGTTGAATACAAATAATTGAATTCATAGTGTCTGATGATATTTTTAAAATGTGGGCTTACTTTGTTCTGTTTTCCTCTAAAATCAGACGTCAGGGAAAAAAATAAATATTCTGATGATGCGTGTTGTAAAAGCTTTGAAGTATTATGTCATTCTGTCACAATGCAACCTTCCATGCCAGAACTACAGGAAAAAATATACAAGATGAAGTTATTACAGATTAATATAGAATTGTTAAACTGCACTATAGGACTCCCCACCAGTACACACAGTTAAAAAAATGCAGACTTTTTAACCGTGACATCAGCGAACTCTCGTACGAGTCGGACAGCTGTGGTGCTAGTTTATCAGCTGGGGACACCTATCACATAAATAAATACTGTATGTAATTAATAAATATCTTATAGATAAAGAACAAACAGCACAGTGCTTATGAAGGAACTCTTCTGTTTCCAGGTGAGATGAGTGACAGGCGGCTTTCCCACCCTGCCTCCCACCCTCCTTACCCAGTCAAACAGGAGCAGGGTCCGAGTGCTTCAGGCCACGTGTGCGGGAGGGGCGGCGATGGCGAGCGCTCGGCCCAGAGCGTGTGCGACCTGGGCTACATCCACGTGGTGGAGGAAGAAGGAGGTGGTTCTCGTCCCCACAGCCATCCGCCCAAAGCCACACCCACTCCCCCTTCCTCCGGGTCTCATAACGGCCCCTCTTCTGGCAGCCCAACTCCACAGGGCCCATCCGGACTTGGCACGGCCCAGAGGGAGGCATCTGGGGCCGGCACACAAAGCCCTGGGACGTCCCCGGAGGTACGCAGGCGTCGTTCAGCCTCAGAGCTAATGGGTGAGGCTCCGGGTGATCGCCCCCACCTGTGCATGGAGTGCGGCAAAACCTTCCGGCTGGTGTCCAGCCTGAAGAAGCACCTGCGCATCCACACGGGCGAGAAGCCGTACCCGTGCGCCGTGTGCGGCCGCCGCTTCCGTGAGTCTGGCGCCCTAAAGACGCACCTGCGCATCCACACGGGCGAGAAGCCCTATTCCTGTTCAGAGTGTGGGACTCGCTTCCGCCACCTGGATGGCCTGCGCAAGCACCGGCGCACGCACACCGGCGAGAAGCCCTACGTCTGCGCCGTGTGTGGCAAGCGCCTCAGCCGCCTGCAGCACCTCAAGCAGCACCAGCGCATCCACACGGGTGAGCCGCCCACTCGCTGCCCGCTCTGCCGCCGCGCCTTCCAGGATGTCGCCGCACTCAGGAAGCATCTGCGGCACCACCAGGGCGAGCCGGGACTGGAGGAGGTCCGAGACAGGCTGGGGCTCGACGCAGATGAGGAGGAGGACGGTGACCCGAACCTCCAAGGCTCCATGGAGGACGAGGAGATGAGGTTCGGGATGTGGGGGGAGGAGGAGAGGGAGGAAGGGGAAGCGGCAGTCGATTGCGTGTAGGAGACAAAAAGAAAACACAACGTTTCTTCGAGCACTGGTCACCAACCGTGCTCCCGAATATCTGCCTTCCTGCAATGTTGATCCACCAGTCATTCCCTTCAGAAGACCATGATCACCTGGTTTCGGGTGTTTTAGACCTGTGGTGCTCATTTCCAGACCTGGGAATGCTTTCCTCAGCACACTTAAACCAGCTTCAGGAAGGACTTGAGAATCTGAGGACCAGAGTTGAGAATCCCTGACCTAAAACAATGCTGATTGGTTGCTTTAGGGTTCAAAATAAACTCTAGTCCTCATAGAATTCCTGAGTCCTTCCTGGTGCTGAGCAGTGCATTCCAAATACCGGACACATCTAATCCAGCAGCAGGAAGGCTTTAAAGAAAATTCCATGACAACCAGAGTTTAGTGGAACCCTCGGGATGTTGAGAATCGCCGGTCCAGGACCATCCTGACTGGTTGGATCAGCTGTAGCAGGTTAGGGTTCAAACTAAACTCTGCCAGAAGGTTGATCTCCAGGAGGGGGGTTGGTGACCACTGGCTTAAAGCTTTAAAAAATATTCTTGGTGCGGAGACTAAAACCTTTGTGACTTATCTGATACAGGAGTCACTGGCCATCATTTGCCGCCAGGCCTTGTGTAGAGTCTTTAGTCCCAAACGGAGGATCTTCACAAGCTTTTGCTGTTCCAAACGCTGGAAATGTGGAAAGGAATAAGCGAGCAGAATCGAGCGTTTGAGCTTGGATTAACAGCAAAACAGACTGCATGTGTGTTAGAGGAGTGGGAATAAAGACGAAGTTGTAACGCCAGGAGGACGTTTTCCTTGGCCCTGCGTCTTCCCTGCTGGACACACTCAAATGTTGGTCTTATCTTTGGGACTTCAGGGTGGGAACCTCCAACCAGCTCCTACTAGAGACTAAGTTCCAGCAGCACTCTAACACCCCTTGCTGTAGTGGTCATCTTCTTGTGATGGCATTAATTAGCTGGATGTTGGCATGTTAGATTAGGGTTCTGGACTCTGCAGGGTGGACGATAGATAGCATTACTGTGTAAGACTGCAGATTTCAGTTTTTACGTTTGTATCACGTTTTAATGATAACGTCAGGTGAACTGGTCGTTGCCCTTTCACCACTGGGAATCACTAATATGTTAGCATGGGTTAGCTTGTCTGTATTCACGTGGATGTTATGGAGATCTTCCAACAAGCCCACGAAAAGCCAAACCACCAACTATGGAGTTCTCAGCTGTGGAGTTTTCTAACAATTGAAGGCAACCGATATAGGAACCTCCTAATATTCATAAGCCTGAACAACATACTTATAAAGCAATACTATTTAAGAGCAGCTTATGCCATTATTCACAAGACGACATAAGATGTATTATGATGTAAATGACATTGTCTTGACACAAAGGAGCTTAAATGTGTCATAAGAGTGTTATAAGTGGAACAAATGCCGGTCACTTCAGTTTACGGCTTGTTATGTTAGTACAATGTCATTTATTTCCCCAAAGCATCTTGTCATTAATGGCATAGGCTGTTCATAAATACTCAAGGACATTCTTCAGTGCTTATGCACGTGTTATGAGGTTCCTATGAAGGTAGGCTTCATAGAAATTGTTACTGGGAGTCCTGGTATTCCATAGCTCCAGACTTCGTCTGATTTCCGGTCCTGGATTTTGTGTTTAGACGGAGAGCAGTGGGTTCCCAGCACTGTGTTGAGTTGAGAAACCTTGTTTGAGGAGGTAGATTAATCTACAAAGCTTACAAAATCCAGAACGGGAAAGTCCAGGTTGGGAATCGAATGTCTCGAGCGTTCTAAAATCCAGAAGACTCTCCCAGCTGGACTCCCAGGATGCTGTATGTTTCTTTTTTTTTTTTATTTTGTTTGTTTGTTTGTTTTTTTTCCTTAAAAGCTTTTGGATGGTCGTCTGTGGTAGTTAGTGAAAATGTAACATAGGTGTTTGTGCAAGCGTGGAAAATAGAAGTATGACCAAAAGGAGTTTCAGGGCGGCATGAGAGCCTTAACTCTCTCTTTCTTTCTCTCTCTCTGTCTCTCGCACACAAGCATTAATAAGCTGTCGAACTTTAAATGGGCAGCGGTTGAACAGAATGCACCTTCATCTTTAGGTATTTTATGGTTATGCTCTTATTGATCCCTATAAAGGAAAGTCTGAACTATAATGTCTATGTGTATACAGTATGTATGAAACTTTATATCCTTTTTTTTTTTATCTTACCCCTTAACTATAGTAGGATTTGAAGTCCAATACTTTTTCTCCTGAGCAGTGCTTTGTTTACCGGTTCACAGCCCCTCCGCTCTACACAGCTGGTGCAGTGAACTGAATCTGTTGATGTACTGTTATGAAATGGATATTCAATTAAGCCCAGCAAATAAAATCCTCAGAAATCAATAAACAGGGTGGGTGTGCCAAAATGGGGGCACGTTAAGAAAGAGTACTGCCCTCTTCTGGTCAGTTCAAGGCACTGCTGTTTGTTTTTGGTGTTTGTACTGAAGAAGGTTGGAGACTGTATTTCTTTGTTGAAACCGTTCGTACTGCCGTTCTCGACGTCATTTTGAAGACTGTTTTACCTCTTTACCCAGACTGATGGACAAAGAAGACCTTTCTAATGTCACCACCTTGTGAAAAGTTTTGGACTCTTAGTGCTTTTATTTTGATTGTTGTTGTTCTCTACACTTCTTTGTATTGAGAGATGTTCCTACTGTATTTGGGACTTAACACCTGTATAAAATCATTACCTAGTGGATAGTTGACCCAGACGTACCCAGGGTGAATGGAAACACAATAGTGTTTTAATAACTCTTCCAAACTGTTTCAGTAACTCTTTCATGCTTTAGATATATCTATTCACATGTTCATTAAATCTAGTAAATAAAAACTTTTATATGAAAAATTCTCCCTGTTGATCTGCTGGGGCTCTGTTGGAAGTGGGAGTGGCTGAGGTCCTGACTAGACGTGGGTATTCCAATGTTTTCAATATTGAAATGAATATCAATGCCCACACACTTTAAAAAAAAAAGGGTTCTTTAAGGGTTCTTTAGTAATGAAAATGGTTCTGTGTAGAACCATGAACACACACAGAACCCTTTGCATGATTAAAGGGCTGTTTGCATTGTGAAAGGGTTCTTCAGATTGACGGAGAATAGGCTGCAGATGGTTCTGTATAGCGCCTTTTTGAAAAAGGTTCTATATGGCACCAAAAAGGGTTCTTCCGTTGTCCCAAGCTCAACATCATAACAGTAGAACCATTTGAAAAAGGTTCTATATAGAACCATGTACAGCACATTCAACTAATCATCCTGAAGAATCATTTCAAATGGCAAACAACCCTTTAATAATGCAACAGGGTTCTGTGAGTGTTCATGGTTCTACATAGAACTACTAAAGAACCCTTAAAGAACCATCTTTATTAAGAGTGTAGGGGTGGGCAGTATGGAGATATTTATGGTTATTGGCATAAATGATGTCATATTGCATTACAATACTTTTCTGAGCATGTTGTCACTGTTGGGACAAAACCTTGTATCTTCAGTTTTGTCATTTTTTTAAAAAATTGCACCATTACATACATATATATCATCTAAACCGCTTATCCTTCTGGGTCGCGGTGGGGTGCTGGAGCCTATCCCAGCTGTCACCATTACAGTTATGTCAAAATTTCATGATGAACAAACCAGTAGAAATGGTCCAAGAATGACTTTTGGAGATGTTTTTCCTTCTCCCAAAGTTGCTTTTTCTGAGATGTGAGGTTTTATTCTAACAGTGATGATATCATGGATACGGCCGGCACTTCAAGAAAGCATAATTGGTCCTGTTTGGTTGGATTTAGTGCAGTTTAATATGTGAAACATTGAATAAAAATCACTGGACTCGTAGTTCTTGATAGTAAATTTTACATTTGCCCCTACTGGGGCTTTTTTAACTGTTCCAACTCATTAAATTTCAGAAAAACTAAATATCAAGATGCATATCATGATATATTTTTGCCCTATCGCCCACCCCTATAATACCTTTTTACCTGACCAGTACTGTTTCTTTTCAAAACGTCCTGTTAAATTACAAACCAGAGAGTCTGAGGTGTTGGTGGGTGTATTTACTGACCACAGATGACTGCAGACTTAATCAAGAAGCGCTTATTTTAATAACATATGCATCGTAATTTAGACAATCCGCAGTCTAAATTTTGGAACTCTCATTGCATCACTGACGCTGATGAGACCACTGAGGTGTTGAAATTTGGTGCTGAATAGAACGTAATGTTTTGATACTCAGTAGTATTGAAGTATTTCAGTCGGTGCTGTAGAAGTATGAATTCTGATGCTCAGTCCTAGTCATGACTAAGGTTAAGGAAACCAGGTAATTGTTTATTTCTATCATATTTTTTATGCTACTTCATATTTGACTTATAACATTAAGCATGCATTTGATAAACGTTAAACATCGTATCAGTTGTCTTCCTGCTAAACGCCTCGTTTTTGACTTATATGACTCAATAATTGATCAGACACTCACTGATATTCACATTTTCTGTTTTTGATATGACATGCATTACATGTCCAAAAGTATCTAGACACCCACTCTAAATAGTTAATTATGCTACTTTAAGGTGCAACCATTAGTAAAAAGTGTTCAACTGTGCACCCACAGCTTGATTAATCACGTAGAAAAGAACAGACCAGTGGAATGGGAACACTCTGGAGTGGCCATATATGAGCCTGAGGTCACCGCGCCCAGTGGAACTGCATACTCTGGAGTGATGAAGCTCTTTCCAATACCTTTGCTATGAGTTGGAGTGTCCAGAACAGATCGTCCAACATCATTACCAGTAACTCTCTAATGTTTTTGTGGCTGAATGCAATCAAATCCTCACAGCAATGTTCCAACATCCACTATGCGAACTGTCTTGGTCCACTATTTTTTTTTTTTTAACTCTTCCAGGCTTGAAAATGGAAAAGGAAGAACAGAAATAAAAATATTATCCATTTA